TCTCTCTCTCTCTCTCTCTCTCTCTCTCTCTGCTTTGTAACTTTCATAGATTGATATCCCTGCCTTGTATTCTTTAACCCACAGACTGTACACGAGTGACAGAAAAGAACAAACCGATTTGCCTCTTCCCGACTATAGTTATGCGATCTTTTTGGTGGACCTGCGGACTTAATCATGTTTCAAGTTTTAGTGCATGTTTTATGGCATTTGCAACACAAATAGACCACACAAGTGCCGACGATTAGAGATGATACTTGAGAGTAGCTTACACAGAAATTAGGAGAAATAAGAACGATAGGCATTTGATACTAGAAATGAAAGAGCAGACCACACCACAGCCCCCACGAGCCACCCACATTTATTCCTTTTTCTTCTTTGCTTATGTGTCCTACATAGTCCTGAACGAGACAGTGGGAGAACAAAGCGGTGATCAGACGACTATAGCAGCAGCAGTTGGGGCAGCCTGTGCAACGTTGGTCCTTTGTTGTGTCACCACGGCTGTTGTGTATTGGTTTTTAAAAAGGAAAGGTAAGACTTTCTAATATAGGTGTTTTTTCGCCACCTTCGATACAATTTAGGAGACATGATTCCAATCCTGGCTGTCAGGGCCATCGAGTCTGAGAGGGATACAGCATCCCAGCAGGAGATGTCCCGAGATAATTGATTTTAAAAATATTCTTTGAATGCTCCCCACTCAAGAATTAGGCTCGGGTCTCCTGCGTGCTACACCGCAAACTGTGGTTGAGATATGTTCACATTAATTAAAATATAATTATTGCAAAGGAAGTAATTACAATTATGTGCTTGTACTGTATTGTAATAGGTGCCATTTTGTAACGTAATTCTGTTGTACGAGTAATGGGCAAATGCGCAGAAAGAAAAAAAAAGAAAAAGACACCCCAGGCTCAACACGCTGCACAAAATGGAATAAAATTAGATGACAAAATATGGTGAAATGTAGATGTGGTAAAAAGTGTTAAGCTGGAAAAAGCCAAGAAAACAAATTTAATTACTCTTATCCATAGGAAGATAAGGAGGAATAAGTCATCATTCTATTTTGAAAACATCATGTCTCTTTGCCAAGTCATGAGTGCTGACTTGTGTGGCTGATGTAGTTGAAACATAAAAGAAGAACGTTGCTGGGTGAACAAAACAGCTTGACAATGTTGCCAAATTAGAGCCGTAATTATTTTTCAGAGGAAAGTTTTTCTCACAGTTACAAAACAACATGTGGTCGTTTTCATAAAAATGAAATCTAAACTTTCCCCGAGAGAATTCCAAGCCTAACAAGTATATGGTAAAACAGTTACTGTGCTCTGTATCTTTAGATATAAATATAATGTACTGTAGTTTTCTGTCATATGCAGCTGAGTTTGACTTTTACTCTATAAAACCCAGTTTAATTCCTTTGCCTTCCGCAGGCTGTTTCCGCTGGATGGCTAAACCTATAGAAGAACAGTAAGTATCCATTAGTCATTTTTTTCTAGTTTTTTTATATTTTACCCTCAGCCCCCCGCCCCTCCTGCATTACTGTCAGCACCAAACTGGCCTTTAAAAATCTTTTAAATGTACGTGCTTGTTTTTGCCCCCATCGATATAACCCCTACCTTTTAAGAGGCAGCTTCCGACCCAACCTCTCAGGACCAACCCGGGCTTTAAGAGACTCAACACCCCTGCCAAAAGACCGAGATACCCCTACCTGGAATATGTGATACACCTTGTCTCCCTTTACTTATTTTGAAACGACAAGACTGTGTCTTGCTCTATGTGGACCGAGACGTTACTTTCTTGCGGTGTCCTTTATCAGTTTCTCAACTGTTCTGTTTTTGTGCTGGGACAAGTTTAGTATTAATATCTTCTGTCTATGTGTCGTAGTCAGTTTTGTGAAGACTGTGAAGCATTTGACGTTCTTTATGATTAAAGTACCTGAAATGTTAAATAGGACCGACATCAAACGTTTAGCAGTTAAGGTCTTTGCTGTGGCACGTAGGAGATCCGAGTTGGAATACCGGCTTGGGAGGATTTTTTTTATCTCTGTCTTGCTACAGTCAAGTTGTATCCCTTTAATTAAGCTTTTATTGGCCTCGACAGCGAGGAACGAGGACGGCATCTTAGATTATTCCAAGTGTATTGATGGGGCGAAAAAATACCTATATGTGAGGCAGCGTGGTGGAATCAGGCTCTCGTCAAAATGATCAAAGTGAAGAAACTTGTATTTTCCCCCAGGTTTGATAATTTTTATCCCATTTTTGTTTTTTGGCTCAACACCTTTCATGCACATTAAAGAACTCAATTCTGTGTGGATTTTTCTGAAAAACGTTGATTAAAGGCACAAAAAACGTAAATTTTCAGTTACCACGGACTCTTAAGCTAAGGAAATAACTAATCTTTGGCGTCCATTTTCTCACTAATTTTACCTATGAAAACAGGTGACCCCCACCTACTTCTTTCGCAAATATCTCGACTTGTATTCACGATAAATGGATATTTTTTCCATCCAAATAAAGACAGGTGAACAAGCTTTAAGATGTTACCAATAACTCTACATGCCCAGAAATTGACGAGCGCCTGATTCCACCACGCTGCCTCACATATGGAAATGGAAAGGTGTTTTGTAGAGCAGAAATTCCTCTATCTAGACCGACCTATAGCTGTGTTCCTGGTTAAACAGCTTTTCATTAAGTTAGATACAGTGAACTATTCCCGATTTCGGAAAAAGCACATTATAGATGAAAAGGATTAATGAAGAATTATTGAATATTTTGCACCAGAACCATGACGGTGCTGTGAGAATCAAGGTTGTAAGCAACAATTTAATATAAAACAAACTACGGGTTAGAAACCAGTGTATGGGTGTGGCGGCTAGGTGGTTTGCTGTTGCACGCAGGAGACCAGAGTTCAGTTCCCAAATGGGGACAACATTTTTTGTTGAGTATCTCGGTCTTTCTGGCACGATGTATCCCTATTAGCTCAGGTTGGCTGTGACTGGCAGGGTCGGAAGCACACCTTCCAAATGATCCAAAATGTGTTGATAGGGGCTGAAAACACCTACATTTGAAATGGTAATTTGGAGGAGTTTAGGCAAGGCTGTTAATTTGGCTGTATGCGTATGCAATCATACAATCTTTTCATGCAGACATATATACTTTCTTTCCCTTTTCTCCCTTTTTAAATTCTTGGGTTTAACTTCACAGTCAATACTGTTCGGTTATTCGAAGGAAGGGACCTCCGAATTTAACATTTATCTCCGACACGAGTGAGCAAAACAGATTGCGAGCCTTGAAAACTCCACAAAACAACACATGTTCAAAAATGACCAATTGCGGATTCAACCAAAAGACATTCCTTTCATAGTCCATCCTGATACTAACTGCAGAAACGGAACACTCGTAGTTTTCTTCCTCGAAGGATCAAGACTGGTGTATGGTAAGGATGGCATACTTGAATACGTGTCACGACACGATCGAATCAAGCGCTTGTAAATTTCGGGGGCACATGAAGTTATTGATATAGTCATTTAATGTTAAAGTTTGTTCTTTTGACGTGCTTTTGTTGAAAAAGTGATTCGTTTATTTCGAATAGAACTTAGAAGTAAATGTAGTAGTGATACATGCAACCAAAGGAGGTGGGGGTCGCCTGGTGTCAGAGGTAAAATTAGCAATAAAATGGCCGCCAAAGTTTGTTGTCTTTCAAAGCTGTTTTGTTCTTAAGAAACTGTAAATTTGGTCTGTAATTTTGATTATCCTTGTTTTCAGAGAAATTCCGGGTGGGGCGTGTTTTTTATTTAGAATTTCGACCACAGGTGGTCCATGGGTTTGCGCCCGGTAATTTTCATAAAAATCTGTTTTATTTTGGTATCAAAATGAGTGTTTTTACAAGGGGAATCCTTTCTTTGACAGATGAAACCGAAACTATTAAAAAAGAGTGCATTTTTTCTAACAAAAACATCAATTGAAACAAAGATGTATGCTTATCTGCCTTTTGGTACGCCACTTTGAATTCCGTAAACATTGTCGCTAACACCATCTCGAGAAAAACACAATATGGCTTCAGGATGCAGTTTTGCAGAAGAAATTGCTTTTGTTTCACGTGAGAACCTGCTCTCAGGTACAAAAAGAAGGAAAAACCCCGCCCCAATGAAACCAACTGAGAAAGGAGAGACATGCAGAGCTGAGGTTATGAATAAATACTTTGCTAGCATCAACAAGAAAGGAAACCAGAACAAACTTAGCCACACAATAAACAGCTGACCAAAAGGGCAGAACAGACCCCCAAGGCAAACCTGGAGGTGTTTGAGAAGGAGTTTACTCTGACGGAATTGAAGGCAGCCCTCAAAAAGTGTAAAAAGAGAAAGGCCCCATGACCAGACAACATCACCAATGAGATGATCCTCAACCTGACAGACTCTTCCCTCTCCATACTCCTGGATTTCTTCAACAGGACCTGGAATGAGGGACAGCTCCAAACAGAATGGAAGAAGGCAAACATCACACCGATACTGAAGAAGAACAAACCAGCAAGCCAGCCTTCAAGCTATAGACCAATCTCTTTAACATCATGCCTGGGTAAGGCCGTCAAGAGAATGGTCAACGACAGACTGTACTGGTGGATGGAAAACACCGGCACAATCAGCACATCACAGGCAGGATTCAGGATAGGCAAATCAACTATGGACCACCTCATCAGATTTGCGCAGAAGACCAGCGATGCCTTTCAAGATAAAGACAATATTGTGGCCGTCTTCATCGACCTGAGGCAGGCGTACGACCGTGTGTGGAGACAGGGACTGTTCTTCAAAATGCAAAAGCTTGGGATAGCAGGAAGGATGTTCAGCTGGATCAAGAACTTTCTGTCTTGCAGAACTATCCAGACATCATGTGACAGCAAGGTTTCTTCACAGATGACACTCAAGGAAGGCCTTCCACAGGGGTCAGCACTCAGCTGTTGTTTATGAACGACCTGCCAGATGTCATCTCCTGTCAGAAAGCTCTCTACGCTGACGACTTGCTCATCTGGAGCAAAGGAGGTGACATGAGAGCACTGAACCAAGCCATCAACGCACACCTGACTACTATCTCGTCCTACAGCCAGCTATGGAAAATGGAGATCAAAACAGACAAGACTGTTTTTGGACTATTCAGTCTCAAAAACAAGGTTACAGCAGGCCAGGTAAACCTTAAGATCAATGGAACCAACATCAAACATGAGGACTATCCCAAGTATCTTGGTGTACAACTAGACCGAAAGCTGTCGCTCAAAGAGCACTTAGGCGAGCTGACCAAGAAAGCACCTCCAGACTAAACCTTCTGAAACACCTTTCATCACTCAACTGGGGAGCTGACAAAGCAACCCTCCGACAACTTTATATAGGGTATGTCAGATCTGTGATTGACTACTCCCTACCACTACAATCCATAGCCAGCCAAAGCTCTTTGGCACAGCTTGGCAGTACAGAACAAAGCACTCAGATTTGTTTCTGGTGCGATGATGACAACGCTTACTAGCACCTGCGAAATCCCCACCAACATAGAACCACTGGACCTCAGAAGAAAGAGTGCTACACTCGAAACCTACGAATGATTTGTGCGACTAGAAGACAAGAACGAAAACAGAAACATGGCGGATGAGTGGGAACCAAGAACACGCATCCAGAAAACCTCCTTCATGCCAGAAGTAACAAAACTACTGAAGAAGTTTGACCCACATGAGAACAGAGAACCAATCACCAACATCAGCTGCGGACCTCTTTATTGGCAGGCACCAGAAATCACAATAAGGACGAGACTTCTAGACCCTTCTTGTGACAAGACCACACCAGAAGAAATCCTAATAACTAGTGCCCTAGAGACAGTGGACTTGTATGCTGAAACCCCTATTCATGCATACACAGATGGATCAGCAACAAACACTACACGGAATGCTGGATACGGATCCATCATCAAATATCGAAACAACATTGAAGAGAAGAAGCAGACCCAACTATTTGGCACATGTGGAACATACAGCTCCAACTATGACGCAGAGAGAGTTGCCATAGTAAAGACCCTGGAGCAGATCACCCAAGACTTTTTTGAAGGCGCAGTAACACCGGGGGATGTTGTTGTCTTCTCTGACTCAATGTCAGTGCTCCAAGCCGTCGAGGGAGGAGGAGACTACAGAGGTGACAGGAACATTCTCAGCCTTGTAAAACAGATGGGCATTACCTATGGCGTCCGGGTCACACTGCAGTGGGTGCCTGGCCATTCTGGAGTACCAGGGAATGTGACTGCAGACCAACTTTCAAAGTCTGGAGCAAGCCTGCCCCAGACAGACACAGTCGCCTCTTTACAGGCCTGCAGAGGGATCATCCTAGCCAAAAGCAGAGACGATTGGCTAAACAGATGGGCCAACACAGAAACAGGAAGATCTCTCTTCGGGTACATGGACAAACCCAACCCCAAAGACCCATCGAATCTCTTATGTAGAGCTGATCAGACTTTGATCTTCAAAGCGCGCACAGGACACTTGCACTCCAAAAAGCACATAGATAGAATTAACCCCATGTGGGAACCCCATTGCAGACACTGTGACTACCGTTGAACATCTTCTCCTTCACTGCCCAAACCTGGCAGTTCTTCGACGCAGGCTCTACACACACCTACAGACTTACAAAGCCTGCTCTTCTCTGACGCTGACCAGATGACAAGGACATGTGGTTACTTGAGGGAGGCATTGCGCTGCCAAGAGCGAAATGCTCGCAGCTAAAGGGATTTGAAAACAACAACAAACAACAACAACAACGTGAGGAGGAGCTGTGGGATGATGAAGAACCCCCTAAATCTATTGAAGATGAGAAGCCCTATCAGCTGATGCCAATGTTGACGATCTTAGATACGATGTCTTTCCCTCTCTACAATCGTATCGTGTAAATCTAATTTCTTCTCACGTTTTAGACATTGCAAGAGTAAACAGCTATCCTTTGTCAGGACTGGATAGTTCAAAACCCAGATTTAGAAGAACCGAAGAGATCTAAAGAGAATCAACTTGCATGTACAGAACTGATCAGGCAGTTGGCATAGATAGATAGTTAAACTAAAATTCCATACTGCTTCAAAGTCAAAAGTATTCACTGTTCACACAATCATACTAGGCATGGTCAAATCAAGCCAAAGGAAAAACTGTAAATCTTATTATTTAAAAATTCAATATTGAAAAGAAAACCAGATGCCCGTGTACTGCCTGTGACACTTTCCTGAGTTTGCAAGACGATAGAAACTGTCTTCTTCATTATCATGAGATGTGCTGACTCGTATACGATCCGGAATAGTAGTCTGTTAATATTATTATACTGGCCCTAGAGAATTTTTTCCATATTTGATTGGTCAACTTTAAATTCACAGATACTGCGTGTACACTTTAGTCATGTGTAATTCAGCCTACACCACAAAACAGCTAGTTTTTTTTGTTTCTTTTATCTAGACTTACATGTGTATTTAGTAAAATCGATACTTTTCTCTTTTTTCCTGTAGATCAAAAACTCTAATATAATGTAATGCCATACAAGGCCTATTTCAGTTAAATATTGACAGAATGCACTCTGCTCACAATAATGCTTAATCCGAATTCTTTCTGTTTTGATCCCATCAGGTCTGGAATCACACGGGATAACAATGGTAAGACTAGACAGGTACAAACGTGAATTTTCTTTTACTCAATATTCACGAGGACTGATGAAAAACATAATTAAATATCGCCCACCCCCCCC